CCCCCAGGGGCACTAACGATGACTCCGTGCCCCCAGGGCACTAACGTTGACTCTGTGCCCCCAGGGCAGAGTGAAGGGTCCTCTGCGGCAACTTCGACTCGCTCACCACCAATGACGTCATCACCCCGGGTCACGTGGAGCTGTGGGAGGCTCCCGGCCCTCCAGGGGGGGTGCCGGGGGGGGCAGCCCCACCCCCCGCTGATGTAAGTGGGGGGTGGGGGGGAGGGGGTGTGGTGGGGGGGGGTGGTGGTGGGGGGGTGGTGGGGGGGTGGGTGGGGGGGGGTGGGGGGGGTGTGGGGGGGTGGTGGGGGGGGTGGTGGGGGCTAGGGAGTGTTCTGAATCATTGAATCTTGCCAGTTTTGCTGCTGATGATGCTGCTGCTGATGATGCTGCTGCTGATGATACTGCTGCTGCTGATGATGATACTGCTGCTGCTGCTGATGATGCTGCTGATGCTGATGATGCTGCTGCTGATGATGATACTGCTGCTGATGATGATGATGCTGCTGATGATGATGCTGATACTGCTGCTGCTGATGATGCTGCTGATGATGATGATGCTGCTGATGATGCTGCTGCTGATGATGCTGCTGCTGATGCTGCTGATGATGATGCTGCTGCTGGCTCAGTGCTTCTCGGAGGTGCTGTCTGGCAGTTCCTGCGACGCTCACCCAGAGAGGGCGGGTGCTCGCCAAGAGGGAGTGTGCAGTGTTGCTCACAGCCGTCTACGCGCCCTGCCACCACCTTGTACGTGCACCTAGCCTGGCAACCGGCACACACACTCACTCACCCACTGACTCACTCACTCACACACTCAGTCACACACTCAGTCACTCATTCACACACTCAGTCACTCACGTCACCCACTCACTCACCCACTCACTCACTCACACACTCAGTCACACACTCAGTCACTCACACACCCACTCACACACTCACACACACACTCACCCACACACTCACCCACTCACCCACTCACCCACCCACTCACTCACTCACCCACCCACCCACTCACTCACCCACCCCACCCACTCACCCACCCACCCACTCACCCACCCACCCACTCACCCCCCCCACCCACTCACCCAACCAACCACTCACCCCCCCACTCACCCACTCACCCCCCCACACCCCCACCCACCCACCCACTCACCCACTCACCCACTCACCCACCCACTCACCCACCCACCCACTCACCCACTCACTCACCCACCCACCCACTCACCCACCCACCCACTCACCCCCCCACCTCTCCAGGTGGACCTATCCTGGCACCTGTCTGCGTGTATGGAGGAGGTTTGCTCCACCACCAGCACCACCACCAGCTCCTCCTCCACCTCGTGTTCATCTCCCTGCGTGTCCCTCTCCGCCTACGCCTTCCAGTGCTGTCAGCAGGGGGCTGCCATCGCCTGGCGCACCCCGCGGCGCTGCCGTGAGTCCATTCCACGTTACTGTGGCGGGGCCAGGTGGGGTAGGGGGTGAGGCGGAATTGTCCATCCAGTCATCCGTGCGTTTTGCCACTCATTGCTCTGTGCGGAGGTGGTGTGTGGGTGGGTGAGTGGGTGGGTGGGGTGGGTGAGTGAGTGGGTGGGTGGGTGAGTGGTTGGGTGAGTGAGTGAGTGGGTGGGTGAGTGAGTGGGTGGGTGGGTGAGTGAGTGGTTGGGTGAGTGAGTGAGTGGTTGGGTGGGTGGTTGGGTGAGTGGGTGAGTCGGTGGGTGAGTGAGTGGTTGGGTGGGTGGGTGAGTGGTTGGGTGGGTGTTGGGTGGGTGGGTGGGTGGGTGGGTGAGTGAGTGGGTGAGTGGTTGGGTGGGTGGGTAAGTGGGTGGGTGGTTGGGTGGGTGGGTAAGTGAGTGAGTGGGTGGGTGAGTGGTTGGGTGGGTGGGTAAGTGAGTGGGTGGGTGGGTGGGTGAGTGTTGGGTGGGTGGGTGAGTGGTTGGGTGGGTGGGTGGTTGGATGGCTGGGTGAGTGGGTGGATGGCTGGGTGAGTGGGTGGCTGAGTGGTGAGTGGGTTGCTGGGTGGGTGGGTGATTAGGCAACTGAGTGATCATAGGTGGTGGTGGTGATTGTGGTGGTGGTGATGTGGTGATGGTGGTGATGATGATGATAGTACTAGCACCGATTTACCCTCCCTGTAGGGATGATTGGTTGACATGGCGTGTGTCTGTGTGTTTGTGTACCCTCCAGCATTGGATTGCGAATATTATACACGAGGTGAGTCTACGAGTCTCCCCGTGTCTCCCCGTGTCTCCCCGTGTCTCCCTGTGTCTCCCCCTGTGTCTCCCCCTGTCTCCCCGTGTCTCCCCGTATCTCCCTGTGTCTCCCTGTGTTTCCCTGTGTCTCCCCGTGTCTCCCCGTGTCTTTCCCGTGTCTCCCCGTGTCTCCCCGTGTCTCCCTGTGTCTCCCCGTGTCTCCCCGTGTCTCCCTGTGTCTCCCCCTGTGCCTCCCCGTGTCTCCCTGTGTCTCCCCCCGTGTCTCCCCCTGTGTCTCCCCGTGTCTCCCCGTGTCTCCCGTGTCTCCCCATGTCTCCCCGTGTCTTCCTGTGTCTCCCTGTGTCTCCCCCTGTGCCTCCCCGTGTCTCCCTGTGTCTCCCCCCGTGTCTCCCCGTGTCTCCCTGTGTCTCCCCGTGTCTCCCCATGTCTCCCCGTGTCTCCCCGTGTCTCCCCCTGTGTCTCCCCCTGTGTCTCCCCGTGTCTCCCCCTGTGTCTCCCCCTGTCTCCCCGTGTCTCCCCGTGTCTCCCCCCGTGTCTTCCCGTGTCTCCCTGTCTCCCCCCTGTCTCCCCATGTCTCCTTGTGTCTCCCTGTGTCTCCTTGTGTCTTGCCATGTCTCTCCGTGTCTCCCTGTCTCCCCGTGTCTCCCTGTGTCTCCCTGTGTCTCCCCGTGTCCCCCCGTGTCTCCCCGTGTCTCCCCGTGTCCCCATGTGTCTCCCCGTGTCTCCCCCTGTGTCTCCCCCTGTGTCTCCCCGTGTCCCCCTGTGTCTCCCCCTGTGTCTCTCTGTGTCTCCCCATGTCTCCCTGTGTCTCCCCGTGTCTCCCTGTGTCTCCCCGTGTCTCCCTGTGTCTCCCTGTCTCCCTGTGTCTCCCTGTGTCCCCATGTGTCTCCCTGTGTCTCCCCGTGTCTCCCCTTGTCTCCCACCGTGTCTCCCACCGTGTCTCCCCGTGTCTCCTTGTGTCTTGCCATGTCTCCCTGTCTCCCTGTGTCCCAATGTGTCTCTCCGTTTCTCTCCGTGTCTCCCACCGTGTCTCTCTGTCTCCCCGTGTCTCCCTCTGTCTCCCTCTGTCTCCCCGTGTCTCCCACCGTGTTCCCCCGTGTCCCCATGTGTCTCCCACCGTGTCTCTGTGTCCACCTGTCTCCCCGTGTCTCCTTGTGTCTTGCCATGTCTCCCCCTGTCTCCCTGTTTCTCCCCATGTCTCCCCGTCTCCCCCTGTCTCCCTGTGTCTCCCCGTGTCCCCATGTGTCTCCCTCTGTCTCCCCGTGTCTCCCCGTGTCTCCCACCGTGTCTTTCTGTCTCCCCGTGTCTCCCCGTGTCTCCCTCTGTCTCCCTCTGTCTCCCCGTGTCTCCGACCGTGTGCCCCCGTGTCCCCATGTGTCTCCCGCCATGTCTCCCACCGTGTCTCTCTGTGTCCCCCTGTCTCCCCGTGTCTCCCCGTGTCTCCTTGTGTCTTGCCATGTCTCCCCCTGTCTCCCCGTGTCTCTCTGTGTCCCCCTGTCTCCCCGTGTCGCCTTGTGTCTTGCCATGTCTCCTTGTGTCTCCTTGTCTTGCCAAGTCTCTCCCTGTGTCTCCCCGTGTCTCCCCGTGTCTCGCTCCTCCCTCACCAGGTATCTTCCCCCTCCCTCACCACCCCCTCCCCTCCCCCTCTCCCTCCCCCCCCCTCCCCTCCCCCAGAGCTGGGTGAGGGTCCCTACAGGCTGGTGACCTTCCGTGGGGTCGCCGTCTCCATCGACCGCAGTGGCTGTGCCGCTTCTCCCTGGCTGAACACCAGCACCATCAGCAGCACCATCAGCAGCACCATCAGCAGCACCATCAGCAGCACCATCAGCAGCAGCACCATCAGCAGCACCATCAGCAGCACCATCAGCAGCACCAGCAGCAGCAGCAGCACCAGCAGCATCATCAGCAGTGCACCAGACGAGGCGACGTCCTTCACCTTCAGGGTGGTGCCGCCTCTTCGCAGAGCGTCGCAGTGGCAAGCTCGTGAGTGGGGGGGGGGCGTGGCCACGTGCCTGTGACGTCACCGCGCGCCTGTGACGTCACCGCGCGCCTGTGACGTCACCGCGCGCCTGTGACGTCGCCGCGCGCCCGTGACGTTCATAGTTTAGTTCATAGTTTAATTAATTTTGGTATAGCCCCGTGAGCCATTCGGCTCTTGAATCGCGTGCAACCACAACAAACACAAAAAAAACGTGACCAAGAAAAGCATCTTAAAGTGACTACTTTGTGAGTGACTGTGCAAACAGAAAATCCAGGGGAAAAAAAACATCAAAAATATTCCTGAATCAGCACCGTACACCACCAACGGCTGTGTGCAAAAAATCCCAGTGGGATGCAAGTCAAAATAACAACAACAACAACAACCACAAGACAACGAAGATTAAGGCCACCAGTCTGACTCCGTACTACAATAAACAAAAACATGGCCAAAACCAAAAAAAACGTTTTCGAAATCACCAAAATAAAAGCCATAAATGCAACGTAACAGTGATCATAGGGACTGTGACCGAATTTTTAACAATAAACTACGTAAATAAATTATAACACCAAAATCTAGAGCCATATTTTTTAGGCCACTGAATTAGCAGTGGCAGCTAGGGGTGTAACAACTCCTCTAGAGCAGTTTTGAGTGAAGATCTCTCATAGGTGGTGATTCAAGTTGAAGTTTATTGGCAATAGCATTCCAGACCCTGGGGGCATCAATAGCAAAGGCCCTTCCTCCGGTTTATTGTACGGCAATAGGGGAATGTGAAGCTGGTAAATGAGCGAAGGCCTGAGGTCAAATTTGTTCTTTGAAACAGCGAGGAGATCCAGCAGCAGGTAGTCTGCGGATTTTCTTTGTAAGTACATCGTTGAATAAATAAGATCATCTGGTGCACAAGCCGTCAAACATTAAGAGATGGTAAGTTTGACCCAATGTAGAGATCACAGTGGTGAGTCCTATATGGGCCATTCAATGCAAATCTTCAGGCCGAGTGATAGATGGAATCAAGCTTCTTCAGTACAGTACTTGGGGCTGATTTATACACGATGTCACACTAGTCAAGTAGAGGCAGTATGGTAGCTTTGATCAATTCCAAACGGAACATTGGGGGGAAGCAGTGCTTGTGTCGATACAGAAAACCAATTTTTATTTTTGTCTTTTTACCAATATAATCAATGTGATCTTCAAAACTAAGTTTTGAATCCAGGATGACCCCAAGATACTTATAGATCTTGACTTGCTCTATTTGATAATTATTCAAGGAATGTAATTGGGGAAAAATAACTTCCTGCTTTTGTCCCGGTGAGAAGCATAGCACCTTGGTTTTGGAGATATTCAGGGACTAGTTTAAGAGCAACTTGCTGATGTTGTAGTTTGTTGAAATCACCCTGGAGCTTAGCAATCACGTTATCCGGAGAGCGGCCAGCAGTAATCAGTATCGTGTCATCTGCAAAAAGATTTACCCTGGAATGATCCAGGTCAGTGCCCAAGTCATTGACATAAAGAGAGAACAAGAGGGGGCTGAGGATGGAACCCTGTGGAACCCCTTTTGTTATCTTAACACTGTTTGACCTCCAGCCATCTGTGAATGCAGTTTGGGTGCGAGAAAAGAGGTAATTTTTTAACTATTGTACTGTGTTCTCGGAAAAACCAAGGCAACTTAGTTTACTAAGTAGGGTGTTGTGGTCAACTGTATCAAAAGCTTTGGACAGGTCAAGGCACAGTACTGCTTATTATCAAGGCTATTGTAAATTTGATTCAAAGAGTCTAATGCAGCAGATGTGGTGCTGTATTTTTTCCGGAACCCAGATTGGTTTTGGATGTGATAGATTGTTGGTGGACAGGAAACTGCTAATTTGGTAGTTCAATAATTTTTCAAAAATTTTCATCAATGGGACAAAATTGAGATAGGTCGCTAGTTATTTGGGTCATCTTTAGGGCCCCCTTTGTGAAGTGGACGGACATAGGAATGTTTCCAGTCTAGAGGAACTGATGCTTCTTTGATGGACAGGTTGAAAATATGGGCTATAGGTTTGTATATTAGGTGACCAACAGTTAGTAGAGCAAAGACGGGAAAACTATCTGCTCCGGTAGAGGAGGACCCTTTGAGGTAGGACAGTTGTTTCAGAACATTACTTTCGTGGATTGGTTGGAAACTAAATTCGTTTAATGTTTGGACAGGGGTGTAGGAATTTGCAGGAGCAGGGGTGATTCCCAATACATTATCAAAAAGATTACCAGCTTCAGAAAAATGAAGGTTAAAATTGTCAACTATTTTTTTGGGATCTGAAAAATATTCCCCATTTTGGTGAAGCTCAACGGGCAGATTTTCTGTTTTGGATGCCTTTTCGATAGATTTGATTGTTTTCCAGAAAATCCTGGCATTTCCATGTGATTCCAGGAGAGTGGAGGAAAAGTTGGGCATTTTTTGCATGCCATATGTTTTTTACGCATCTATTCCTTAAAATCCTGTATTCTAGCCAATTACTTTTCTGAGCACATGCCCAAGCCTTGTCCCTAGTTTTCATGAGCTTTGTAATCAAAGGATCATACCATGGTGGGCGGTTGCCTTTAGTTTTAAATCTAACCAATGGAGCATGTTTGTTAAGAATTTGGAGAAACGTGTGTACCTGAAAGTCTCCCAAGCCATAGTCAGGTTGGGGATATCACAGACCTTATCAATATCCGAGTGAAGCACATCATTAGTGAATGCCTGAGTGCTGAAGTGCCTCAAAGAGTGCTTCTCAACAATTTTAGGGGGGGGCTTTGGGTCTGGCTGATGATCTCACACCAAGAATGAAGGAGTGATCACCAAGGTTATTACCCAGAACACCAGTCAGTGCGAAATTGTGAGGGGCATTTGTCAATAGGACGTCAAGCAGAGTTGACTGTCCCGGATTTTTTTAGGTTGGGTCTTGTGGGGACATTTATTAATTGAAACAAGTTAAATTCATCTGTAAAATTTGTGGCCACGGCCGGCGGGTTTGGCAAATTCCAATTTAGATCACCCACTAAAACGATTTCACCTTTAGCGAGGCCCTCAAAAAGCTCTCTCAGTGCCGATAACGCTTCAACATCCTTCCCACTAGGCGATCTATAGCAGCACACTACCAATATCTGTTGATTATTTGGGAGAGTTATTCTGAGAGCCAGACCTTCAAAGCAACATTTTTTTTAAACAAGGAGTGAGCTGGTGAACATGCAATAGTGTTACGAACATACATGGCAATTCCACCTCCTTTAGATCCTCGGTCAAGCCGAAAAAGGTTGTGGTTGTCAATCGTAATCTGCAGGTCATTGACGGCAGGAGTGAGAAATGTTTCTGTTAGGCAAAAAAAATGTCCGGGTCAAGATTTGCCACTTCTAGTTTTAGTTGACTTAATTTAATCACAAGCCCTCTGATGTTGACATGTAGAACACCAACACCTTTCCTGCCAGAAAAATCTACAGAATTATACGAGCTCTTTTCATTTGGGCCAGGATGAAGCTCAATACCACCCAGGAATCAGAAAAGTAGAATTAACAGTTTGCATAAGTATTTTCTGTGAAAGGATGAAGAGCGGCGAACCTTGGACGAATAGCAGATGGTGTTATTTTTAAGAGCAGAATGAAGTTTGGAAGGAGTGCTGGTGAAGTAATGGGACAAAGATAGGGTTTAAAAGGATACAATGATGGAGTGTAGAAGTGTCTATGAGCTGTTTCATTTGCAGGTGTAGTGGCAAATCGAGCAACAGCTATTGACGCAAAATAACGAGGGTAGCCGTTTGTAGAGTTGAGTGTGGCACTAGACATGGCCGGGAGGGACAGCAGTAGGACAAACAGCAGGAGAATTGCCATCTCTATAAAATATCCGGGGTATACACAGATTTACACACAAGTGGAAATAGAAAAAAATATATATACTTGTAGGCCGAGCGTGAGAGAAAAACGTCTTGCCACACTCGTCACACACGCACGGCTTCTCGCCCACGTGCTAGGGTTGAACAGCACCCACCCCCCTCTCCCAGACACCAGATTCTTGGCTGTCGTGGGCTCGGCCGAGCCGCTTGCACCGCCTCCTTTCCCCGCCACAGGATGGTGCCCGAGCTAGCCCTCCTTGAGCTCAGCCCACGACTGGAATGTCGCTTCTTGGCCTGCTCCACGTGATTGAGTTAGCTGCGGGGGTTCGCCACGGGGTGACACATCAGCTGAGCGTCAGCACGCTCCAGGTACCACTGTCAGCGGCAGGCGGGTAGACATCCCGGCAGGTGGGTAGGTCTCCCGGTAGGTGGGTAGGCCTCCCGGTAGGTGGGTAGGTCTCCCGGTAGGTGGGTAGGTCTCCCGGTAGGTGGGTAGGTCTCCCGGTAGGTGGGTAGGTCTCCTGGTAGGTGGGTAGGTCTCCCGGTAGGTGGGTAGGTCTCCCGGTAGGTGGGTAGGTCTCCCGGTAGGTGGGTAGGTCTCCCGGTAGGTGGGTAGGTCTCCCGGTAGGTGGGGAGACCTCCTGGTAGGTGGGTAGGTCTCCCAGTAGGTGGGTAGGTCTCCCGGTAGGTGGGTAGGTCTCCCGGTAGGTGGGTAGGTCTCCCGGTAGGTGGGTAGGTCTCCCGGTAGGTGGGTAGGTCTCCCGGTAGGTGGGTAGGTCTCCCGGTAGGTGGGTAGGTCTCCCGGTAGGTGGGTAGGTCTCCCGGTAGGTGGGTAGGTCTCCCGGTAGGTGGGTAGGTCTCCCGGTAGGTAGGTAGGTCTCCCGGTAGGTGGGTAGGTCTCCCGGTAGGTGTGGTAGGTCTCCCGGTAGGTGGGTAGGTCTCCCGGTAGGTGGGTAGGTCTCCCGGTAGGTGGGTAGGTCTCCCGGCAGGTGGGTAGGTCTCCCGGTAGGTGGGTAGGTCTCCCGGTAGGTGGGTAGGTCTCCCGGCAGGCGGGTAGGTCTCCCGGTAGGTGGGTAGGTCTCCCGGTAGGTGGGTAGGTCTCCCGGTAGGTGTGGTAGGTCTCCCGGTAGGCGGGTAGGTCTCCCGGTAGGTGGGTAGGT